CTTTGTATTTTCTATACAAACAAATATATATGCGAAGAATGCAAAGAATTTGATTCTAATTGCAAAAGATGTTCAACTACATTTGAAAGGAAGTGTATTATTTGTGAAAATGGGTTTAATTTGGGAGCAAATGGGAGGTGTAGTGCCTGTGATTCCATTGACGTTAATTGTGAAAAATGTAGTCAAACAGAAAAGAAGTGCACAAAGTGCTTTGATCCGTTTTATCTAAACGCAAGTGGAAGTTGTGTTGAGTGTCAAGATGGAGAATACAAAAACACTGAAAATGGGTGTTCGCGGTGTTACAATGGCAATCCAAACTGCAAAAGGTGTATAACACAGAGTGTTAGTATTGCTATATGTACCGAGTGTTTTGAATATTACAAAGTAGCTCAAAATGGGAGGTGTACACTTTGTGGAGAAAATGAGTATTTTGATAGTGCAACAAAAATGTGTGTATTAAACAACAAATGCTTTACACAACTCAATGAAACGAAATGCCTTAAATGTGAAGATAAACATTATTTGAGTGGTGGTGTTTGTAAAGAGACAATAAATTGCAATGATCCTTCAGTTGTCACAATGGCATCGTGTGATTGCAATAACCAAATAAGTGTCAATGCTGACTGTCAGGAGTTTCAATTAAATTGCAAATACCAAACAGTAAAAGGTGGTGTGGTTAGTTGTATTTATTGTCGAGACAATTTTATACAAACAAATGGAATGTGCACAATAACAATTAATAACGAAACAACAAAAAATGGATATATATTTAATTGTGGAAATAATAAAAGCGTCGGTTATAACAACAGTTGTATAAGTTGTGAAGATTCTGAAATTTGTATTAAATATGATAACATTGAAAAAGCACTTAAGTGTAAGTCAAATACCATTTATGATGTAACAAATGCAAAATGTACAATTGATGAAAAATGTGAAAATATAACAAATGGGTTTTGCAATAAGTGTTTGACAACCAACAATGAAATTGTTAAAGGAAAGTGTCTACAATGTCAGATATCACATTGCGATTATTGTGAAGGCGGAAATTGTGTAAAATGTGAAAGTGGATATTTGTTATACAAAGAAAATTGGTGCATATCATATGAAAGTGTGAACTGTATAAAATCGAATCGTATTGGGTGTATTTTATGTAAAAAAGGGTATTACCAAATTGAAACTAAAAACAGTGAAGGGAAGTATGAGTATTGTACACCAATAGATATGACAAGTATATCAAATTGTAAACATTTAAGTGCGAAAAGTAACAAATGTGTTGAATGTTTTGACGCATTTAAAAATAAGAATGGCTTGTGTGCTGATAATTTTGAAGAAGAAAAAACAAGTAAAACAAATGATGTTAAATTATATTTAAACAAACATATAAAAATGGCAACGGAAATTCAATGTGACATTCGGGACAACAAAGGGTGTCAAAGATGTCGTGATGGATATTACAATAATTACAATGAATGTTTAAAATGTGAAAACAATTGTAAAGATTGTTACAACTCAACATACTGCACTTCATGTGCATCTGGATTTTATTTGAGTTCGAATATGGAATGTATCTCACTTGGTTCATTACAAATAAGTTGTAACATACCACTTCCAAATGGAGGCGGATGCGCTATATGTAATAATGGATATTATAGAGAAGGTATCAGTTGTACACCGTGTGAAACATCATGTTCAATTTGTGTTAATGGTAACGAGTGTCTTGCTTGCAATGATGGGTACTTTAATATTCCAAGTGAAGGTAAATTGTGTCTTTCAAACACTACACTATCAAATTGTGCACTGTTTTCGTCTAATGGATGTGAAAGTTGTACTTATGGGTATTACGT